GGAGGCTGAGGGAACAGAGCCTGGGTCTAATGTGGGGGAAGGGAAGCAGGGGGCCCAAGTCCTGCTGGGTTACCTTCTCCACAACCCACACCAAGCTGAGCGGCAGGGGGGGGCCCGGGCCTTCACTACCTGCTGCTGCACAGACCCTGTTTGACTTCAGGTCACCCTCAAAGGAACAAACACTTTTGAACACCAGACTCTACGATGGAAGGAAGGCCTATGTGTGAGGTGGTTTGAACAAAGGACTTCTGTATCCCTTGGCACGGCTCACCCCCTTGGGCCCAGGCCTCTGCTGCCCTCTTCTGGGGCGGTGGTCCAAGTTGAGTGGGGTCTCAGAGTGCCTTTTGAACAGCCCTCCACCCCTTACCTGCTCAGAGTTCAACCCTGAGGATGCCTCCCCTTCACCTCTCCTGGGTCCTGGTCCTCAGAATTGGTCAACTCCACACTGAAACCTCTCCCTTCCTCAGACTAGTACATCAGCCAGAAACAGGAGGCCTAGGTTTTATTGTATTTTATTTGAATTTAAGGATTTTGTTTTTCACTTAAAGAGTCAACAAGATTTGACAACAGCAGAAATGAGGCCATTTCTCTGACGGGGTTGTGCTGACCAGCACAGAGTTAACCACACAAAGCAAAACAAGTCAGCTCATTCGGGAAGGTATTTGAAACTTCTGGAAAACAGACTGCAAATAAATACAGTGCACTGGGATGCCCTCAGGCAGCCAGGGTCCTGGGCAGGGAGAAAGCAGAGGACAAGCAGAAAGATCCAACTGCCAAGACCTGCGAGGTAAGAAAAGAGGTACAAGGGCTGTCCCTGCCCTTGCCCCAGCCAATCCTTCTGAGCCAAGACACCACATCCAAGGGCAGGGTGGAGGCTCAAGGCTGGAGGCCTGGGGGGAGGGGAGCTGCCCTGTAAGAGGGGGCCGGACCTCAAAGCTCTGCCACACATTGCTCCTGGAGGGAAGCAGGTGTGCCAAGCCCAGGGAGCCCCAGGGAGCCCTGCATACCAAGAGTGCATCCTACAAACAGCTGGATCCCCACCTCCCCACACTGTCAGCCTGTACAGTCATCTCAGGGTCCCCCCTTCCAATTTGGCCCAGGAAGAGGCTGGAGCTGAGGATGCTCAGGGTGTGGGGGCTAGGTCTGAGAGGGCCACATCTGTGGGGCAACCCAGGGGACGCTGCCCTCCCCCCAGATCTGTGGATGGAAACTTGGAACCATCAGGCTGACACGCCCCCAGAAGTGGCTCTGGGTGGAGAGGGCTGGGGTAGATGAGAGGATCCACCTGGATTGGGGGCTCCTGGGAGGCTTGGCACAAGGACAAATGCCATTGGGCTCAGGCTGTGGGGAGGGCAGGGGCCCGAGCGGCTGTGTCCAGCCTCAGTGGCTGGGCTGAAGCTGGCAGAGGTCATCTTCTAGGCCCCCAGCTCCAGCTGGACAGCAGAGGATGGAGGGCAATGAGACAGGACCTCTCTGTCCCTGGGCTGAGCAGCCTGCTGCAGCTTGCTCTTGGGCTTCCAGCAACCAGCACCAGAAGGTGGGTCCGGGGAGGGCCAGGCCTGCCCCCCAGATCCCCACTGTTAGCAGCACACCCAGGGCCTCCAGGACCAGGCCATGCCCATCTGGACAATTCTGCACTGTGATGGGGGGGGGCAGCAGGGAGAAGAACCTAGGGACAGACACAAAAGTCATGCCAGGGTCCCAGCTCCATCCCACCCTGGGTGTAGCCTTCCTGGTTACAGTAGGTCCCCAGGAACTGAGTCAGAACCCCCACCCAAACCACCACCACCATCCCAGTTACCTGGCTTGTGCCACCTACTACGGAGGAACCTTTGGTCAAGTGTGGGGTAGGGTGGGGAGGCTGGACTGTGTGGGTGAGGACCCTGGCTCCCTCCCTAGGGGATGCTGGGAATCATCTCTCTGTCTTCTTCCTAGGTCAGGCTCTTGAGCTTGCCTATGGCCTTCCATCCTTCTCCAAGGGGAGTTAAACCCCCCAATCCCTGAACCCCTCTCTCTCTAGGTCCTCTGGGAACCCTGTGCTCTCCTCCCCCACCACAGGATACCAACTCTTGGAGAACAGGGCAGGGGCATGGGGGAGTGCAGGCCTTGAGGCAGATTCTGCTTCCCACTTCTATCAGTGCAACAACAAGCAAGTCCCTCCTCCTCCCCCCTCACCACCCCTTACTCCCACTCCCCATCCCCAGCTCCCTTAGTCACCAGGCTGGAGAACTCCTCCCCTTCACAGTGTGGTCAGGAGACACAGTTTGTCCAGATCACAGAGTGCTGGCCTTCCCCCACACCAGAGCCAGACCACCAGGCCTCTGCTAGCTGGGCTTCTTCGGCTCTCTGCCAGGCCTTCACTCCGCTGCAACTCCAGTGACCCCAGAACGGACGGGGAGGCACTAGAGGGACTTGGCAGTCTTGACCAGGCAGAGAAAGGGTGGTCACTGCCTACACAGCCCCAGTTCCTGAAAGAGACAAAGAGATAAGAGAGTCGACAATGCCTCCTACCCAGAGCCTCCATTAGCCCCAGTTGCTGCCGCTCCAGCCCTCTGTACCCTCTCTGCCTCCTCTGCCACTGACCAGCCTGAGGGGGCTGTCTCCCATGGGGTGCCTCCTCTCCCCCATCCTCAGGCCCCCTGAAAGCTGGCTGAACTGCAGGGTGGCCTTCCTTCTGTGGCTCTGGGAGGGCACTGGAGGTGGGAGGGACTGAGGAGAATCTGTTGAGATGTAGGAGCAGCAAATGGTGCCTGGAGGGGCCGTTTTTTCCTGCTCTCCTCATTCTCCATGAAAGACTTTGGGGGTGCCCTGGGGGGTGCAGCAACTGTGGCAGCAAGTACAGGCAGAGGCTGGGCTCCTGACCCAAAGGCGGCAAGAGGCCGCTGGGTGAAGGGCCAGGGCGCGAAGTGGGCAGACCACCCTTCCTGTCTGGCTTGCCCTCCCCTGGAGCCACTGCCCGTGTTCAGGTGACACTGTGGGACCTCAGAGGATGGGGAGCGGTTAAAGTCTGGGCCGTGGGTGTCAGGGGTGGCGCATTTCTCCGCTGCAGGAGGACCTTCCCGAGGCTGATGCCACCCCCTCCACTGCAGATCCTTGAGGTCTACAATCCTTGTCACCTGCTGCTTCCCTCTGCACAAGTCTATCTGGCCCGTCCCTCCTACCTTGTGAGTCGGGACCACTCTAATCAGTTCCCTGGGTTTCTCCAAAAAGGGAGCTTTTTTTTTTTTTTTTTTTTTTGCCTCGGAGGCAACAGGTCTCAGAGGAGCAGGGCCCCGTGAGTGTCCGTGTGCGCTTGCAGGCGGTGGCACGTGTGCGCGCGTCTGGCCGGGCTCGCTGACCGTCCTCGGTTGGGCCGGAGCCCCGCCCTCCTCCCTCCGCAGTCCTCGGTGAGGTGGCCGGGGCCGTGGGCACAGGGCGGGCGCTGCGATCCTGGCTGTGCGATCCCGGCCCGGCCCCGCCGCGGGCGCTCACTCGATGCGCACCTGCAGGCGCACATTGAAAATCACGGAGGCCACGACGTAGAAGTAGGGGAAGTTCATGCGCAGCCGCCAAGCCAGGTCGAAAAAGGTGAGCAGCGTGCGTGTGAGCCCCTTGCAGAAGGCGCCATACGAGCCGCGGACCGCCACCGAGCGCGACAGCCGCACTACCAGGCCCGAAAGGGCCGCCGCCGCAGCAGCAGCCGACAGGGCCGCCGACGCCGCCATGGGCCCAGGACCGCGCAGGACTTGCCGACCTCAGGAGCGTGAGCAGCGGGAGCCACCGGCACGCTCCCTCCCGGGCCTTGGCCTCCTCTGTGCTGGGGGAGTCGGGACCGTGGTGACAACCTCTCCTGCACCGCCAAAGGGCCGCCCCGCCGCCTCAGCCCCGCCCCTTGCCGGCTCCCAAGTGGCCGCCCCCACAGGAGCTCCACCCACTCTCCTGTTCCTTGCTGAGGTGGCCGCAGCTGCAGCCCCGCCTGTGAGACCCGCCTCCACCCCACAACCCCGCCCCTGGGACCCGCCCACAGAGCCCGCCCCCGTCCAGGATGCCTGCTCTAGCTGCCTCAGCTCCGCCCCTTGGTGGCTCCCTTAGCAGGTGCCTCCAGCTTCTCACCTTACAGGTAGGAGGCCTATGGATGTCACCCTGCCCACAGGATGGCCCTCCACCACAGCCTGTCCGGCTTCCAGTTCACTGGACCGCCTGGGGGTGGGGGGGAGAGGGGATCTTGCGGGATCCACAAGAGTAGGGTCAAGGGCCTGAGCTTTTGCACTGCTATCCAGATTTTGTCCAGATTGCCCACAGGAGGTACCAGACCATCCCTTAGGTCCCCCCCACTGTCATCACAGGAAACTAGGCCATCAACCCATTGCATCTTTCTTTAAACTCTGCCAAGCACACCTGCATTTCTGATGTATATTTATATACTTATACATAAATATTTGCTAATGATGTATATTGCTTTACTGTTTATTGCCGTGTTGTCCTTTCTTTTACCCAATGTTGTTGTTGCTGTTAAGTGCCATCGAGTCGGTTCTGACCCATAGCTACCCTGTATAGGGTTTCTGAGGAGCAGCTTTGCGGTTCAAAGCGACTTTGCAGTCTATCACATTAATGCACAGCGCCACACCAAGACTCCGGGTTTTCATTTTACCCAATAGTGGTTTCTGGACGGTCCTCTTAAAGATTCTTTGCCCTAGATGCTACATAGGGTCTTCTCCGGGTTTCATTTACTATTGTTGATGGCCTTTCTTGCTAGAATGCTTTTAAAGTCCTTTTGATTTCACCTAATTTTTATTCTATGTAAACTAAACAAAACCAGATCCAATAGAGAAATGCAATACTTACAAACAGAACCCTTTGTTTCTAGAAAGAGCTCTGATGACCAACAAGTCAGTTAGAATCCACTGGCCACTCCACAGGTGACAGATGTGGCGGTCTGCCTCTGTAGCTTACATGCAACCTATAAAGCATTTGCCCCTAGAAGAACTGATGCTTTTGAGTTATGGTGTTGGAGAATATTGAAAGTGCCATGGGCTGCCAAAAGAACCAATAGATCCGTGTCGGAAGAAGTGCTGCCAGAATGCTCCTTGGAGGCCAAGATGGCCAAACTTCATCTCTCATACTTCGGACAATTGTCAGGAGGGGCCAGTCGCTGGAGAAGAATATCATGTTTGGTAGGGCGGAGGGTCAGAGAAAAAGAGGAAGAACCCCAACGAGATGGATTGGCCAAGTGGCAGCATCAATGGACTCAACATGGCAACAGTAGTGAGGTTGGCCCAGGATTGGGCAGGGTTTCGTTCTGCTGTGCATAGGGTCGTTATGAGTCGGTACTGACTCGATGGCACCTAACAACAACAACCCTGTTTTAGAGGGTCACTGAGTCTGAGTGGACAGTAGTGGGTTTGGATTTGGTTTAAGTATACCAACTTTTCTCTCACCTAAGTCTTTTGTTGTTAAATGTTGTCATAGCGACCCTGTATAGTATTTCTGAGGAGCAGCTGGTGGGTTTGAACTGCTGGCCTTGTGATTCAAACTGACCTTGCAGTCCAGTGCTTATCCGACAGCGCCATTGTTGTTGTTAAGTGCCATCAACGACTCACAGTGACCCTGTATAGGGGTTCCAAGGAGCAGGTGGTGAGTTTGAACCACAGACCTTGTGGTTCAAAGTGGCCCCGCAGACCAGTGCTTCATCCTGCAGAACCACACCAGGACTCCACCACAGTGCCACGGAAAACCTAAATTCGCTTTAACAGTAGAAATGGAATACACCTCATCTTCTAATCACAACGCAGTAAAACAAAAACTTTAGAGGAAAATGCCAACACTGAACAACTTCCAAGTCAAGAGAGGAATTAAAAGTGAAAAATGCAATAACAATTTGGGACTCATCTATGAGGATATTGTCTATAAAAATTATGAAATATGATAAAACTAGACTTGAGAAAATTTTACAGCTTTCAATGCTTTTATCATTAAACGAAAAAGAATGAAATTATAATATGCTGATACTTATTGAAAACTTTCTTTACGTAGGGCCTGCATTTCATTTCCATAGTACTTATTTAGGTAGGTACTGCTTTATGCTCGTCATAGTATAGAGTAATTATGAGGTGGGTACTGTATTTTCCCTACATGCTTTTTAATTGCTTAGAAGTATAATTAGGCACATCCATGTAATGTCCTAATTTTATTACCAGTTTCCAAGAACTATTTCATGGTTCTTGAGTTAATGGCACACGTATTTATGAATGCTTAGTATCTTTAAGACACTGTAATGGATAAAGAGATAATAGATGCTCACTGTCCTGATGTGATGCTATAGGATAAGCACTGAACTGCTAACCACAAGGCCGGCGGTTCAAACCCACCAGTAGCTCATTGGAAACCATATACAGGGTCGCTATGAGTCAGAACCGCCTCCTCCCTGTAAACAGGAGCATTGGTAGCATAGTGGATTAAGCGCTGGACTACTACCCGCAAGGTCAGCAGTTAGAATCTACCAGCCACTCTGAGGGCAAAAGATGAGGCTTTCTGCTCCCATAATAGAGTTACAGCCTCAGAACCCTTATACGGGGTCTCTATGAGTCAGAACAACTCCATGGCACACCACCACCACCACCACCCTGAAAAAGGGGTCCTGGTATAGCACTGCAGGATAAGCACTAGACTGCTAACCACAAAGCCTACAGAAAGCCTATACAGTGTCGCTATGAGTCAGAACCAACTCAATGGCACTTAATAACAAACAACACCCTGTCAAAAATCTAGTCATGTTCACATTATACTTGGAACTAATTCTAATAGCTAAAACGGACTATGCTCAGTGCTTCAAAAATACTAATGTCTGAACAGCACCATGGTTGCACAGAGGAAAGTGATCCTGACCTGGGGAGGGGGCAGGAGTCAACCGCAGTACTTGGTATCATAGTTCTGGGAAGCAACTCTAATGAGCTGGAAGCAGGCAGGGCAGATACATAGCCACTTTATTAAAATATTGCATAGATACAGAGCAGTTGGGCATTTCCATTGTAAGGCACTGTTTTGGTCTGAGTGCAATTACACACAAGAGAAATGAGAAGCCATCACATTCAGCATTTTTCAGTTCTACATTCAGACTCCTCCCATGGTACATGTTTATTGCTACTGGGAGCCCAAATTTAACCCTTGAAATATAGCAGCATCACACAGGGACCTGAATGACAAGAATCCTGGCTCGAGCACTTGGTATAATTTGGCACTTAATTATAAGCTCTATTATATTGTTTCCCAACTCTTGTTTAACTAAAGAGATTATAAAGTCATTATGAGCCTGACTCACAATTTGTTTCTTTACGAGCTTCCATTAAGCCTAGAATAGGGTTAATTAGGTACATAGCAGATGCCCAGATAATACGTATATTGAATATCACTTCTAAGAACTTCAATAGAAGAGACATTCTTTCCCTGATTCTAGTTTAAGGAAAGAATGACTAGAAATCTTCATGAAGCAGAAACACTTGGATGTCCTATTGCTTTTATTTTACAAGAAGCCAGGCTCAATAAATGTTTTCACGTAACAGTTTTAACTGATAAAGAAAGTTCCTCCCTCACCGCAGGAAAATTTAGGACTTGAACATGATTATATGAGAACGTTTATATAATGAGAACATTTAGATGTGTGTGTACACGTATGTGTAATTTTAAGCAAAAAATAAAGAGGTTGAGAATCGCTGAGCAACTGATAAATTATTTTATGTAGTGACCCTTACCTCCCTAAAGTGATACATGTGTGTATTACACAAAACATATATATTTGTTTAAATAATTTTTTGTGACACCTCTAGCAATAACTAGACTTGGGAACAACAAGTCTACATTGATAACTATAGAAATATTTGTTGAGACAGTTGTGTTCCAAGAAATATCTGTAGAACACTACTACTGTGGATTATTATTATTATTGGGTATACATGAAAAAGGAGTCTGGAGTCAAAAACGTATTTGTGTTATTGTTCCTGGAGGACCTCTCATAGATCCATCTGCTGAAGTACGCTGTGAATCTATAAAGGAGAGACAACATGAAACATTCCCCAAACTTATTAGCAGAACTAAGTGTTTTATGGCACACACTTTGGGAAACACTGAATTAAAGAAAGGGTACAGTTTTTAAAAACTCCAAGAAACACATAATAGTATAGCAAAGAAGAGTGACAAGCAATGGATGCTGCTTCATCAATTGTTCTAAATTAAATGAGAATCTACCTCAACTGTCAGGTGGATTCTTCCAGATGGTAGACCTCATTTATTCTGTGGACAAAATAAATCACTACATTAACTCAGCCCTAAGCAGCATTACCACAGACTGCCAACTGAGTAGAACAGTAAAATTTCCAACATTCCAAAGTAAATGTTAAAAATTTGATTTTCTTAAACATAAAAATTTTCTGGGAGATTAACACAGTTCTTACTTGGTAAATGTCACCCCCTTCATCTTTGTGTCCCAGACACATTTTTATAGTCTGACCAATTTTACCATCTCCTATCTTTTCACCTGCCTTTAGCTAATATAAGGAGTCCTGGTGGTGGTGAGTTAGGCATTGGGCTGCTAACCTCAAGGTTGGCAGTTCAAACCCGCCAGCTGCTCTGCAAGAGACAGATGAAGCTGTCTGCTCCCATAAAGATTTACAGCCTCAGAAACCGTACATATATAGGTTTGCTGTGATCAACTTAATAGCATTGGGTTTTGCACTAATATGTTGTTGTTGTTAAATGCTGTTTAGGGTTTCCAAAGAGCAGCTGGTGAACTTAACCGCAGGCCTCCCGGTTCAAGCGGACTTTGCTAGTCCAGCGTATTAGCAAACAGCGCCACACCAGGACTCCATGTTCACCTTTAATAATGACACAGCCAAGTATTGCTACACTAGATATGGCAGCTACACATGGGTACTGAAACAATCCATTATACTGACCCCATACCTGAAAGGAATGTCATCATTTATATGCTTGACCCTTACACCTATGATATATTGGCTTAATATGCAAAAAGTTCCATTACAATTAAAAAAATAAAATTGTGGAGTCCAAATAAAAATCAAATTTGAGAGCGTTGCAAGAGTAGGTGGACATTCTAAAACTCACATGCCTTGGTAGATGAGTTTTGAAATGGTCAAAAAAGAAAGCTGTTCATGTAAGCTCAAAAAACAAAACCAGAAAATAAACAACTGTTCTTCCAAGACAAACAGTCTCTTTCAAGTGAAGACTTTTATCAGTTAGTGTTAACTTCTGTAGGACTTGCTTCTGTCAACAATTCTTAAAGAAATCTTCCCTAAAGTGAGTGACTTGGTGCATTATAAGGCCTGCTCTCTGTCTGAAGCTTTTTGAACAATGACTACACTTATAAGGCTTCTCCCCTGTATGAATTCTTAAATGAATAACAAGGCTGGGTCTCTGTCTAAAGCTTTTCCCACAGTAATTACATTTAAAAGGTCGTTCTTCAGTGTGAGTTCTCTGGTGCAAAGTAAGAGCTGTCAGTCTAATAAAACTTTTCCCACAACTGTGACATCTATGAGGTTTTTCACCTGAATGAGTTTTCAGATGTCTTTTAAGACTAGATCCATGACAAAAATTTTTCCCGCACTCAAGGCATTTGTAAGTTTCCTCTTCAGAATGGGTTCTCTGGTGTCCTATAAGGTGTGACCTTCGAGTGAATCGCTTTTTACATACAGCGCATTCATAGGGCCTTTCCCCAGTGTGAAGTCGTTGGTGTCTGTAAAGGTCTGAACTACGCAGGAAGCTTTTCCCACATTCAGGGCACTTGTGAGGTTCTTCTCCAGAATGAATTCTCTGGTGTCCAGTAAGTTGTGATTTCCGAGCAAAACATTTTCCACACTGAGGACACCGGTGAGGTTTCTCTCCTGGATTCTTTTTCTTATGGGGTCTAGGGGCGACGGGTTCTTCCAGTTTGGAGCTCTCAGGTTTCTGTCCTATAGAGTGGTTCTGAGGATTTACCAGCTTCGTCAAATCTGTCTGAAGCTCCTCTGGAGGGGGCTCCCATTGATTTTCTAACTGTTCATAATCTTTTTGCAAAATGGGACCATGTAGTGCATTCCCCTCTAACGTAACAATAAATGGGTACATATTCTCCAGTTTATTCTGTTTTGAAGTATCTCCTTCATTTTCTCTCTCAATCTGAAAACCTGAGAGAAAAAAATAGAAATTTCAGATGACACCATGTTCCAAGGAAAACAGAAAGTAAGGGAAGAAGAGTTAAAGTAAAACCACTAGTGGGAAGAGAAAAACTCCCAAGTAGAATTCCAAGCATTACCCTGATGAAGGTTTAAACGAACAATTACTTACCTATCTTGGGATCATGTAATTGTTTCATTTCTTTGGGGTCCTGTAATTCCTTTACCCATGGCTCTTCTCTGTGCTCCAATGGGAAGTTCAGGTCAAGCTTTAGTACTGGATATCCCCCTGGTCATACGGAAGATGGGGAGCAGGGTAGTTAGCATCACCAAAGGTTTCCCTAGAGTGTAGGCCAATTTCTTGGACAAACATGCTCTCAGTATCTCCTCTCTTCTCAATTATCGTTACTTCACCTGGAGTTTCTGTCAGTGTTTTGTTTGCTTGTTTGTTTTAAAACATAAGAACACAACCAAAATGAGAGGGCAATTCTTTTCTGCTCACTTCAAGGTTGCTCTCCTTTAATCTATGGAAGGTGAATACATCAATTCTATGCTGAAGTCAATGGACTAAATTAGTTCTACATTTACTGTGATAACAGAATTAGTTAGGTTAGAGACGAAATCAACCTAAAGTTCTGGCATTTTGAAACTGAAAAGCAGTCTGTTATTAAGTACCAAGTCCAAAAAGAGAGGTACAATTGTTACTGGAATAATTTCAGTTAAGACATCTTCAAATTAAAATGGAAATTGACCTAGACTGACAACCTGTAAAAACAGTCTTTATATGTTCTTTTCAGCTGAGGTTTAGAAGGGGATTATCTTGACCTTAATCCAAGTAATTCTCAGACCGTAGTTCCAACTGTCAGTTGAAAGACAATGAGGACAATTTTCTACTCCTCACTCTTCCCCTGTGACCTATCACTCCTTTCCTCACTGACAGCAGTTAGGGTTTGAATCTTTCTTTCCACATCCCTTCCTCTCCCTTTCTCATGGCTGGCAAAGTTTACTGGTCTGCAGTAAAATGTGGGCTGGAAAATATGATTTATGATTTCCATGTAAGAAAGGAGGCAGACTTGACATGAGAGCGTTAGTTCTGCAGACCCACTCCCCCAGTTAACCTGGTGAAATTTCACTTTAAAAAACCCTTTAAAGTCCTCTAGAAATGGTCCTATGGCCATATAACCAATGAAGAAACACCTATTAAAAAAAGTTACCCAAATTTGTTAAGAACAGCCAAAGTCTTAAGTATCTGAACCAAGACCTATCCCTTTCTCCTTCCTCCAAGTGCAGAAAGTCAGAAACTCCTTATCCAGAGAACAGGGATTCCTCACACCCCAGATCCCAGTTAGAAGGTTATCTTACTGGAAGAGGCAGGATGTTAGTATTTCTTATACTGGCCACAGCTACCTATTGCTATTGTTGTTAAGTGCCGTCGAGTCGGTTCCGACCCATAGCAACCCTGTATAGGGTTTCCAAGGAGCAGCTGGTGAGCTTGAACTGCCGACTTTGCAGTTCAAACGGCTTTGCAGTCTGGTGCCACACCAGGATTCCATTAAGTCAGCCCTGACTCATAGTGACCCCTCTGGGTAACAGAATGAACTGTCCAATACTGCACTCACCTCACACTACTAGGTATGCAGGCTTCAACCCACTGTCACAGCTACTGTGGCTCTCTCTCTCTCTCTCTGAGGCTCATCTTCTTTTTGTGCTGGCTCCCTCCTTTACCAAGCATGATGTCCTACTCCAAGGAGCTACCAGTTATTGAGACTCAATTCCAGGCAAGAGTGACCAAGAGGTGGGGGCTCCCGCTGATGGGACCAAGGGCTCTACACTGGGGCCAAAACTGCCCTTGTGCCAATTTGCAAGGCAGTGGTGTCATACCAGGGGAGGCAAGCCAAGAAGCCCTGAGGCAACTGTCCCTGCCCTCCCACCTAGCACTCAGCTCCAAAAGCAGTCGAAGTCTCTCAGAGAAGAGCATCATTGTTCTTACCCCCAGCTGCAAAGCTATGGCTCAGAGATTTTGCCTAGGGGAATAGCAGGCCATAAAGCAGAACACTCTTTCTCTTCCTCCAAATATTGGATTAATTTTTAACAGAGCCTGGAGATATTCAAGACTAAGGAGCCTCTAAAAAAAGAGTGGAGGTTAGCTTGAAAGCAACTGGTAGATTTACTGGCGATGAATCTAAATTGGCTGGTGGGGGAGAACCAGGCAAAGATAGAACTGGAAGGAACCTACTTGGGGTTAAAACAAATATAAAAAATGGACCTCAAGAACTATCCTTTCAAATGAACCTGAAGGTAACTGGGTTAATCTATACAGCACTGTCTGCTCCAGGCCATCGTTGAAAACATTGGAGCAATCAGGCGACAACTAGTAGAGCTTATCAGTGCATGACAAAGTCAAAGGAGGCCTGCCATCTCAAACTGGATGTGGGCATGCCCAGGGCTGTGCCCCATGAAGAGCAATGCCAGAGGCTTAACACTGCAGGAGGGAGAGCACATCACTCAAATCATGTAGCCAGAGCCACCGAGCAAACCAGAAAAGAACAATACCAAGTACACAGAGTTACCACAGTGTGTTATCTACAATGTTCAGTTTCCAATACACAATTATGAGACACGTAGGTAAAGAGAAAAATATGATCCATACACTGGGAAACAGCAGGCAGCAGAAACTGATGATGAGGGCAATCATATATTTGATTTAAATGATGAAGAGTTCAAAGAAGCCATTATAAATATGCTAAAGACCTACATGGTCAAAGAAGCAAAGGAAGGTACGTGGCCACGTCACACCAGAGACTATCAATCAATAAAGAAACAGAAATTATAATAAGCAACCCAACGGAAAATTTGGACTTGAACAGTTTAACAACTGAAATGAAAAAACAAACAAACAAAGAATCATTGAGTGGCTCAACAGGAGTCTTGAATTTCCAGAAGAAAGAATCTGTGAACTTGAAAAAAAGATTTATAGAGATTATGTAATCAGAATGAATGAGGGGGCAAAATGAATGGAACATTACAGAAATGTGGGACATCATTAAGCACACCATCGTAGGAGTACTAGGAATAACAGAGAGGACAGAACGGAACAGAAAGAAACATTCAAAATATGTCAAAAGGTCAATCACGCTTTTGTCTTTCACTCAGAATATAGTCCAGAGCATTCGTTTTCTAGTGATGGAAAATGCAGTGTCTGGGATATTACACTCATCTTGTGGCTACAGTCAAGAAATGTATCATGTGTGTATACTCTTTGACCTACTTAACTGAAGAACTACTGTAAAAAAAAGTAAAAACTTAGTAGGGACAGGGAAGCATGGGTACGTGTGATGGTTTTAAAATCTGCCCTCAAATTCTTTGATATTCATCACTCCAAAAGGTGGAAACTTCCGTCTCCTCCCCTTTAAGTATGGGGTGGACTCAGTAACTCTGGTAATGGAAAGAATATGGTGGAAATGATGGCTGGCAACTAGGTCCTTGAAAGCACTGCAGCTTTCTCCTTTCTTGGCGTTGTAAGACAAGCACTGGACTGCTAGCCTACCAGCCGCTCCTCGGAAACCCTATAAAGGGTCATACATAACCTGAGGGCACTTAACCTGCTACCATGCAATGAGAATGCACAGATGGACAAGTCCATTTAGTTAGGCAATGCGGTCTCCTGAGTGGTACACATGGGTAACAAACTCAACTGCTAGCCAAAAGGCTGATAGTTTGAGTCTACCCCAGACATAAACTCAATCTATTTCTGAATAAACAGCCACTGAAAATCTTACGGAACACAGTTTTACTGTGACACACACGGCAACTAGTGCCCAACAACCAAGTGGTGAGCCATTTTGACAGCGAAGCCTCCAGCCTTAGTTAAAAACCTTCAGATGACGGGGCTCTGAGGCAGAGATGCCCAGAAGCCACTTCCAAATTCCTAACTCACTGGAAACTCTAAAATAATATTCCTTACACTGCTCAATTTGGAGGGTAATTTGTTATTAAGCTATAGAAGATTAATATAAACAGGGATGAAGTGGTTTGGGGTTAAGAAAGGCGCTTCAGTAATGAATGCCCCCCCCCAACCCCGTGCTCAGAGAATAACTTTATTACAGATCCATTAACAAACATTGTATAAAACCATAAAGGCTCCACTGTACCAAAAAATACAATTATTAAGGTGGTGGAATCAGAAATTAGCTTATGGTATATAATCCGGTAGAGTCCTGGTATGGTTGGCAAGGATGACGGTTCAAACCCACCAACTGCTCCTTGGCAGGGTCGTAATAGTCAGAACCAACTCCACGGCACTTAACAGCAACAATATAATTTGGTGTAGCAAGACAATCTGAAGAAATTTAAGTTACAAGAATCTTCTGATGCTTTGCAGAATGCATTTGTTTACTCTAGATTTCATTTCTCCTGATCTTTGACATTTTGCGCATGACTTCCTAGTGAAACCTTACAATTGTAATAAAAACTAAAAGCTTTGACAACTGCAAATGTGTCCTACTTTTAGTGTGCTAAGTTTGAACTCCACATTTTTAAAAGAAAAACACGAGGTATTTGGTATTTTTAGGACCAGCAATTCCTGTTTCTGATTGCAGGCATTCTAATATGACTGACTATCTCGAACATCTGGGAATGTCTGGCTTGGGTTCAAATGAGGAATTTTTTATTTTAATGCTTATGTCTTTCTTGGATCGCTTTCCATTGCAGAAATGAAATTCTTCATGGGTTGCATAAGATTCAGCTCAGTTGCTTCTCTGAGCCAGCTACTGTAACTAGGCAAAATTCATTGTGTATTACCTCATTTTAAAAGTTTTCTGCTAGCAAGCCCTACAAACACTTGAATACATTTTCTTCTTTTCTAACACTTCCATTTCCTTATTTATTAAGATTTCATCACACGACATTTTCAAGACTTCGTTGTTAGCTTGTTTCCTTTAGGAGAGAAGGACAATGATAATCTTCTTTTAATATTATAACTAAACACTGTCTGATCTTTGACCTTGATTTCTGACCTCTCTGCTTATCATCTCTTTGAAGGCCATTTCATTATCTTCAGTACAGGCTCTCATATTACAGAAGCTTCCCTGAATTTCCTCTCATCAGTCTTGTTTTTATCTCCATTGGCTCCTTTCACACTGACAGGCAGCTAACAGAAGTATCCACGAATGACTGTTAGGATGGTTCATAAACTTTCAGTTCACCAAAATATATTTATTATGCCACGCTTTATGAAAACAACAACAACAACAAAGGATTTAGCTTCGATTTCTGGTTGGTATGTAAGTTTCCTTTGACTATATACTAATGTTGTTGTTGTTATTAAGTGCTGTCCAGTCAGTTCTGACTCATAGCGACCTTGTATCAGGTTTCCGAGGAGCAGCTGGTTGGTTTGAATCGCCAACCTTGTGGTTCAAACTGACCTTGCAGTCCAGTGCTTATCTTACAGCACCACACCAAGGTCTCCGACAGATGATTCCAAATGCAAAGAGTATTTTCATTTTAGCTGTATTTTTGCGATGAATATACACAAGAGGGCTTCTAAAAGTTCGTGGAGAAAATGGAACTAAAAAATAATGACATTTTTCCATGAACTTTCTATATATGTATGTGCATATATACACTCACTTCATATACCCAACAATGTAAATTTCTGAAATAAAATAACTTTTTAGAATAAAAATAGATTCAATATTTTAATATACATACAATCAAGTTAAATTAAAAATGGGTTCACTCTGCCAGCATCCTGTGATTTCCACTTAATCTATAAGAGGATGAGTTTCACATAATACACCCCAGGGTGTTTTAATTTCAAAACAAAAAAATAAATAAAAGCTTACATTATCTTTAAAAACAAACAATAACTTTTTTTTTTTTTAACTGAAAAAAGGTTTTATTAAGCACACAGAGTAAAGAGAAAAAGAGAAGTGGGCAATGGGCTGACAAGTCATCAGAGCACAAACAATAACTTTTATATCATTTTGCAAAGCTGATCACTTTTATAATGATGAGAGAGGGATCATTTTCTTTCCTCCGAATTTATATTTCCACTTGTTGAATGCACACATGCAAATGTTATAGATGGTTTTTACCTCTTCAGAGAACATGAAATGTAAATAATCTAAAAATTGGAGCATGAATCACAATATTTGATACAGTTCTGCTTTAACCATACTATCTTTATATATGTAATAGTAGGTTTTCCCTCTTTACCACCTCTATCATTTCTAGTTTAAAAAAAAGACAAGAGTCCACATCTTCTATGTTCCCAGCACTTGCTAGAACAAACTACACAGGGAGCACTGGGACAAACTGATTAAATGCAAAAAGTGGGACAATTGTTGCTTAGCAACTATCTATAAATTCATGAGTTGAATTCTTATTCGGTGGGTGTTACGGCATTGCACAGATAATATATGGTCAAGCTGTTAAGTCTGGAGAGACCAAGCCCTTCTCTTCAAGTGGAGGGAGAAGTCTCCCCAGAAAGGTGAAATTATTCACTTTGCCCTTTACCAAAGTTAGCCAGGCCCCAGGAGAGGGAGATGACTCTCACAATGGAAGCCAGAAGGGATGGAGAAAGTCTTAGGTAAGTCTTAGAGCCTGAAGATCCTTGGTTTCAGGGGAAATGCGGATCAGTTTTCCTGTGGCAATGAGGGCAATGGGAAACAAGAAACCCAGGCAAGGTACCTGCTAAGTTGTACAGACCTTTGAATTCCTATATGATCTTGTCTGGCATGTTGTCTCCCTGGGTCCACTCACAAACCTTGTTTCTTTCTCCTCTATACAATCCCTAGACTATCTCGACTACCCGCTGAGAGTTCAATGAGCCTTTGACTCGCAAATTGCTACCCTGAACCCTGATCTCGCTCCTGAGCTTCATTCCACATTGTCCATTTCCTTCTGGAAACCCATAAGCACCTCAAACTGCACACGATCCAATCTCACCTCACTTTCCCCCACCACATCACCTCCTCTTGTGTTCTCTAGGTCACTGAATAAAATGACTATCTACCCAACTCAGGAACCAGAAATACCACAAATGGATGGCATTCATAAACAGAAATGGCTTCTCACACAGTTTAGAAAGCTAGATGTCGGAATTCAGACCGCTGGCTCTGGAGACAGATCCTTGTTTCCTTTCAGCATCTGTAGGCCCAATTATTCCTTGGAGAGCTCCATGTGGTTTGGCATCAATCTTTCCCTGGATCTAGAAGCTTCCCAGGGCAGGGGCCCCAGGTCCACAGGCCGCAATCCACTTCTGACTCTCCTTTCTTGGTCTTAGTGGGTCCCCCTTTTTCTGCTCACTTCTCCCTTCTTTCATCTTTATGAGGAAACTTCCTTGCAATTGACTGCTCACAGTCGATCTCAGCATGGGGATTACTACATCTTAACTGTCAATCACCGAGAATCCTGGCCCCATCAAGCTGACACAAAACCTTAACTAGCACACCATCTTAACCCTTTCTTTTTCCTTACCCAACACCCACCACCTATCTATCACCAAGTTCTACAATTCCTAAATGGGTTGTCTATTTTGAGTTGTCAAAAAGGGTCAATTTCATCATCATCAACATGACCTTGGTTTAGAAAATTATCCTCCCTGTTAGCAGAATCCAGAGTCCTGGTGTGGCACTGTGGGTGAATGCGATGGACTGCATTAGTCAGTTTGAACAGCAAGGTCGGTGGTTCAAGCTCACTAGCTGCTCCTCAGAAACCCTATGCAGGGTCACTAAGGGTCAGGACTGACTCAATGTCACTTAACAACAACAACACAGCAGAATCCTGATCAAAAGAGGGAGAATGCAAAGCAGAAATAAAAATTCTTGAAGACTCCTGACTTTCTGGAGTCATGAAAGCTGGATGAACCAGTAAAATTATTGCCCAAGGAAAACCTTTATACCTTAAACCAAAAATATGCTTCAAAGTTGTTTAAAAATCAAAACAATAGTCCAGCTTAACTAATACAGAACATTTGCCTCAACTATTGTGCTCTTCTGAAATCTATTTATGGGGGATGAAATTGATAGCAGTATCTAGAAAGATTAGGTAACAAACTTAGGGAGCAGTGAGTTGATATTAATAGGGAATGAAAGATTTAGAAAACAGGGTAAGAATGGTTGTACAGCTTGAAGAATGTAATTAATATCATGGAACTGTACATGCAGAAAACAGTGAATTGAAATATATTCTATTGTATATATTCTCCAACACAACAAAGTGTATTATATAAAAAACACTCATATACTTTACAAGATAAAAACAACAAAAAAAGCCTGACCTAAGCCCCTTACCTGGCTCAGGAAAGGGTGGGCATTCTCCAATAGCACCGTAGTTCAGGTTCTGTGTCCCTGCCTGTGGGAGCCAGGCCCCTGCCACTGTGGCCTCCTGGGAAGGTCCCGGGAGATGAAGTTCAGATGACCCGAGGTGGAGGTTTGGTAGTATATGTGGGGTTTCGACCGGAGCCAATTCTTCCAAGAGCATTTCCTGTGGACCAACCTAAGGGAAATGACAGAACCCATCACTCTAACATCCAGATCAGCACTGCCTAGTGGAAAGACAAAGCGAGTAACCAGGTAACTACATTTTCTAGCGGCCACAAGAAAACAACAGAAAGGAACAGCAGCGGTCAAGCTCAAGAGCAAAGTTCACAACACAGAATACCAAGAATGTCATGAGTTTAACATATAATCAATGTAAGCTATTAATTCGTCATCTTACACATTGCTACATCATAAGCAACTGGCTTCTGTTGTACACTTACATTTTGTCGGTGCGGACTGACCCCATTTCAAGTGCTCAAAAGCCACAAGTGGCTAGTGGCTACTGCACTGAGCAGTACAAGTTCACACAGAGGAAGCTAAAGTTGTAGCCAGAAACAAACCCCAGAAGACATAGAAAGGTGGGAAACCCTACATGCCTTTTATCTTAAGACAGCAAAACACTGTGGAAGATCTCTCTCTTTTAAGGAGAGCTGCCTGGAAGCCCACAGCTACTGCAGAGCCCACCAACCCACCTAGAAGCACTGAGGGTCTTCTCCCAGAGATGCTGGCCTGCACTCAGCTAGGAGCCTCCCCCGACAAAGGTTTCGCAAGGGATTTCTCAACAGAGGACAATGCCACCCCCGCCTCCTCTGAGGGGTTTTGAATGTGATGGCGGGTGGGGACTACTGGAATCAAGTGGGCCCGAAATGGGAACCATATTCACTATGAAGAACTGTTTTGTGTTTCAAACAACTTTGAACTCTTCCCCTCAGATATTCACGAACAAAAAGAACCTGCCAAGAAATTCACCGTTGATTAGATAAACAACAAACAAAAATATTTTCATACTTCTAGCATAACTGGCATTTTCTAGGAAGGCTGTATTATAAGTGCTGTTTTAGATTCCAGCTAGACTCTACTAGAATCAGAAGGTGTCAAGCCTTTTTTCTGGAAAGGACCAGACAGTTAGTATTTTCATCTTTGTGAGCTACATTTGACCCCTTAAAAAGATAAAACTTATTACTAGCTTACGGCTGTACACAAACAGGTCAAGGCCTGGATTAAGACCCACATTGATGTTTCTTTGATGCACGCACATAGGTTACATTTTCTCTGAAATCCACTTCAGAGTCGTTCATTGCTAATACTGCTATAGACTGGATTTAAGTTTGAGTCCAGCAGAAGGGAAAAAGTGAAATCGACTTGGGGCTGAACAACAGCACAAAAACAAAACATCCCAGCTGCCTCTGTTACTTACTTCGTTTTGTCTAATGACGGCAATCCCACCTCCTTTTCTCACCTGCTGCTCCGGTATCTCTAGTTCTCTCTGTAAGTCTTCTATCAGCGCCACAACTCTTTCTCTATTCTCTGGGCAATGTTCCCTCACCCAGGTCTCTATCTCGGAGGGCAGAATAGTTAGGAATTGCTCCAACACTAGCAGCTCCAACATTTGTTCTTTAGAACGCATCTTTGGCTTCAACCATTGACAGCAAAGCTCCCAGAGTTTGTTGAAAGCTTCATGAGGCCCGGCCGCTTCTTGGTATTGGAACTGCCTGAAACGCTGACGGAAGACTTCACAGTCAGTATCATACTCTTCAAGCATGAAGCCCTGATTCAAGGAGGCCTGGATCGCACAGCCCAGGGCCACAGCCATCGCTCCTTTACGGCAGCTTAGACTTTATCTGGGACCTGACGTCTGAGATGCCAACTTGGTTTTCTAATAGTCGGGTGTTACCTACAGCCGAGGACAGGAAAAATATAAGAAAGAAGAAACAGCAGTGCTTACACAGGGCAGACTTACTTTTTCCCTTAACTTACTTTCTTCTCTCTCTCAGTGACTTAACAAATTAAACCTAATTTCTTATTCACATCACAATTCCAATCATTGTTCCACATGGTGACTCAGGCATTCTGGATCCATTTGGACATGGCACCTCCTCTAGGGTTTTCTCTCCCTTACCTTACTTTTCGCCAAAGCTCTAAACCAGTCATTCTTAATGTTTGTGGTGGTTTTGAGAAGCTGATGAAAGCTAGAGACCCACTTCCTATAAAAATAACATACATATCCACTTCTACACACATCACTCAATTTCAAAAGACTTACAAATCTCTGATCCTATCCATTCACCTTCTAGAACTGTGCTATGAAATATAGCAGACACTAGCTCCATGTGACTATTCACGCTTACATTAATTAAAAATAAAAATTTGTTCCTCAGTCAAAGTTCCTCAGCCAAAGTAGCCACATCTCAAATGCTCAACATCACTGCTGTCGAACCTTCTTTGGGACAGCTCCGTGTAAGGCAGGTGGAGAGGCTCTGCACTTAAGGAATGCACTGGACCACAAGGTTGGTCTGAACTGCAAGGTCGGCTGTTCAAACTTACCAGCTGCTCCTTCAAAACCCTATAGAGGGTTGCTATGAGTCGGAACTGACTCAACAGCACTTAACAACAATCTAGATCTACTGGCCTTTAACTTTACTCGCAGGCTAATACCAATTATACTGGCAGATTTCAAGGATACAGAGGAGGAATGCTAACAATATTTTTGAATAATCTGAGGAGTCCATCTAGGTTTATTGTTGTTAAGTGCCACCGAGTTAGTTCCAACTCATAGCAACCCTGTATAGGGTTTCCAAGGAGCAGCTGGTGGGTTTGAACTGCCTACCTTGTGGTTCACAGTCCAGTACTGATCCTACAGC